TAAACCATTTTACCTGCCTGCAGCCTGCTCAGCCCGGCCGGGACTCCTACACGCAGCATGCCACGCCTCCGAATGACTCATTGCTCTGAAGTCTCAGAGAGATCACTCTGCTCTCTCTGAGACCCTGGAGCTAAGAGGCAGATAGGACAGAAGCAGCTCAGACGGGCACAGTACCTTGCAGCCGAGGCCGCAAGCAACTGTGCCGGTCTGAGTGCGTGCGGACGGCAATGCATCCCTGCCGCACAGCTGCCCGTACATGCTACGGGTGGCTGTGCAGGGATGTAGCGGCAACTCTCTGGAGGGGGGCCCTCTTCTTCCTCGCTGGGCCCCCCCCCCAAGTGGCCGAACGCCAGGGCCCGGTCGCAATTGCGACCGCTGCAACCCTGGTAGTTCCGCCAGTGAGGATAGGTGATACCGCATACCGATAGCGGAAGTCCCATTAAGGAAGCCAGGCAGGGTGTAATGACTACCCACCTGGCTTCCTGAGTATGAGTACTCGCCCAAATACTCGGTATCGGCACCGATACAGATCCTAGTATCGGTATTGGTGCATCCCTAATAAAAACCCTTGGCCAAAGAAAAAGAGAAAAAATAATAATTGTATATGAGCAATACACTTGGCAACATTGCAATAAGATTGCTGTAATAACAGTAGGTGGGGTTTAAAATTACTGTGCCAGGAGCAAGGGTTTTACAAAACACATAAGGACAAGGAATCACTTTAGAAAAATAAAAACTGTATTATTACATCTGCTTTTCTGAAAACAGAATATAGACAAGGAGGAACACTTTATCTGTGTCTATCTAAACCCAAAAGCAAAAATATTGCAACTTACCAGTTCTTAGATGTGGGGGCTGCCTTAGTTTTCTGTTTTAAGGCTTATTTTTCTTTATCTTCACCAGATGATCCATCCAGGACTTCTGCTATTTTTCAACTTCCTTTCACAGGCCAAGCTGTACAGCAAAAGTGGCAGATAGAGGGTTGAGATAAACCATTTAACACTGACAGGGGTACTAACTATGGTCAGCATTTATTCTTGTATGTAATATGTTTATCAAAATAGGAAAACAAATACAAACTATTGCTGTAACTTCTTAAACAGTATTAGCTGGAATGTGGCTCTAATGTGTTAGTCAAATCCATCTAAATCACCTGGTCCATCTAACACCACCCTCTCCACAGGGTGACAATACTACTGTCCAAGGGTGGCTCCATTGCTCCTCCATAGAGTGGGGCCACCCTAAGGCAGGAAGTGTTTTACTGGTCAGATCATCAGATGAAAAAAAAAGAAAAGATTAAAAAAAAAAAAAGGAATACAGCCACCACCACATTAAGGATTGCCAAGCTGCAATCTATTATTTTTTCATCTTTCGGTTTAGATACTTTTTAAAGGACTTCATTAAAACAAATGGAGACTGTTTAGACTATGAACACTTTAGTCAAGTCTAGGTAATGTACAACATAGCACATAGAATGCAGTGGTCAGCAGCAGGGATAAGCTTTGGGCTCGGGTCAAACATGGGGTCAATGATGCCATCAGCACCCCCCTCTCATTGTGTAAATTCAGCTGCAGGGCCGGGAATGCCCTGGCTGACAGCTGAATGGGGCTGAGGATGTTGATGATGTCATTGACCAAATATGGCCACAGGGCTAAACAAGGCTGAAAAGGAAGAGCGAGCAGCAGCCATGCCTGTGTTACTCCATCTTGATCTTCGCAGAAGCATGCATCAACTATAAGAACTGATTAATGGCTCTGATTTAAAACTAAAGGCTGTCATACACTTAGAATTTGTCCTCGTTCAGCCCCCACTGTTAGTATGGCAATTCATAAAGACTGGAGCAGACAGAATCTGGAGCAGTTGCCCATGACAACCAATCAGCATCTCTCTTCAGTTTGCTCAGTTAAGATTTGAAAATGAAAGAGAGAAGCGGATTGGTTGCAGTGCAGATCTGCTCCAGTTTCGATGATTTCCCTCCATTGATTTATACTGTCTATGCATTCAGCATGTGTTTAAAACGCATCTGGAGTGAACGATCCCTTATGGCCTTGTTCACACACCGAAAGCCGTGCGTTCCAGAGCGGTAGCTGCTGGAACGCAGCGCGATCGCTCTCTAAACTTCCTGCTGCGTTCTGGGCCGAGAGGGGGGTGGTGCATTGAATTTAATGGCACCGCTTCCATAGGCTCTGTTCACACCTATGCAATGCGGAAGCGCATAGGTTGCCAAATGTCATCACGCATCACATGTTGCAATGTTAGGGTTGGTGTGGTGTCATCATCTCTTAATGGCACCCCAATGCTCTTGGCCATCACGTGTGCTATAGTTCACACCATGGTAAAGTAACCTTTTACTATGCAATGCGACTTTTTTCTAAAAGGTGCACTTCTTTCAGTGTGAATTAGTTGCAGCAGACAGCACCACAAGCACACCGTACAGCACCTGAATCTAAGTCCAGTACCTGGCAAGTTTGCACAGATCACAAGATTAGCTACACAGAATCATACATCCTTTGGCTGTTGCTATACACAGGTTCTCATATATGGGTTCCGCCTGTATATATCAGCTTTATAAAACATGTGTATGCGGCATCAGAGACTCCTATAACACCGATCGCCCTTCACCCCCTGATTATGCACTAGCCGGTATGAGGATCGCCGGGATCGCTGTACACCCCTAGAGATCGTCCATAGATCAGTGTGTGTGTATGACAGCGGCAGCCATGTCTGTGCTCCGGGAGGCTCTTCCTGGTGACAGGCTGGTTGCCAAGGGCGCTGAAAACAACACAAGGAGCCGGAGAGAGCAGAGCGGCCGCCGCCGATCACCGCTATCACTTCTCCTTCTACCGCACAACACATCAGACACCATGAGCCGGGAGGTTCTGGCTGAGCTGCACTGGGCCGATGGCTTCGCCATCCCTGTGGCCAACTCCGAGAATAAAGCGCTGGAAGACGAGGTGAGGACGGGCTTCTCCCACATAACGAACGCTATGCCCGGGGTGTTGTCTGGATACGATATCCTTCTCCCTGTGTGGTGCGGTTCATAGGCTGAGCTTCACCTGACCACTTACCTGCCACTGATCATTATTGTTCTGTGTCTTCTGGCTGTCATCCCAGGTGCCCCCCTGCCCTTCATGTCCTTGTATGGGCCAAGGTGGGGTCACCTGTTCCCATATTCCACCATGGGTCAGGGTTTCAGCCTGGTCAGCATGCCAATATATTGACTGCATAGTAGTGGTTGGACATAAGGTGCCCATGTATGTTGGAGGATAGGAAGATCTTACCAGCTGGACATAAGGAGCCCATGTATATTGAAGGATAGGAATATCTTACCAGCTGGACATAAGGAGCCCATGTATGTTGAAGGATAGGAAGATCTTACCAGCTGGATATAAGGAGCCCATGTCTGTTGAAGGATAGGAAGATCTTACCAGCTGGACATAAGGAGCCCATGTATATTGAAGGATAGGAAGATCTTACCAGCTGGACATAAGGAGCCCATGTATGTTGGAGGATAGGAAGATCTTACCAGCTGGACATAAGGAGCCCATGTATATTGAAGGATAGGAAGATCTTACCAGCTGGACATAAGGAGCCCATGTATATTGAAGGATAGGAAGATCTTACCAGCTGGACATAAGGAGCCCATGTATATTGAAGGATAGGAAGATCTTACCAGCTGGATATAAGGAGCCCATGTATGTTGAAGGATAGGAAGATCTTACCAGCTGGACATAAGGAGCCAGTGTATATTGAAGGATAGGAAGATGTTACCAGCTGGACATAAGGAGCACATGTATAATGAAGGATAGGAAGATCTTACCAGCTGGACATAAGGAGCCTGTGTATGTTTGAGGATAGGAAGATCTTACCAGCTGGACATAAGGAGCCCATGTATATTGAAGGATAGGAAGAATTTACCAGCTGGACATAAGGAGCCCATGTATGTTGAAGGATAGGAAGAATTTACCAGCTGGACATAAGGAGCCCATGTATGTTGAAGGATAGGAAGATCTTACCAGCTGGACATAAGGAGCCCATGTATATTGAAGGATAGGAAGATCTTACCAGCTGGACATAAGGAGCCCATGTCTATTGAAGGATAGGAAGATCTTACCAGCTGGACATAAGGAGCCCATGTCTGTTGAAGGATAGGAAGATCTTACCAGCTGGACATAAGGAGCCCATGTCTGTTGAAGGATAGGAAGATCTTACCAGCTGGACATAAGGAGCCCATGTCTGTTGAAGGATAGGAAGATCTTACCAGCTGGACATAAGGAGCCCATGTCTGTTGAAGGATAGGAAGATCTTACCAGCTGGACATAAGGAGCCCATGTATGTTGAAGGATAGAAATCCTGGGACAATGCTGCTTTATATCTACCACTTTTCAGGTTTTCTCTAGTCCAGGGGTAGGCAACCTCAGCACTCTATCTGGTGTGCAACTACAAGTCCCATGAGGCATTGCAACACTCTGACAGCCGCAGGCAGGACTCCCAGATGCAGAGACATGATAGGAATTGTAGTTTTACCACCGTTGGTTTCCAAGGTTGCCTATTCCTGGCTGGTTGCTATGATTACATGTGGTTAGGAATCAATCACTATCCCTGGACACATGATCGATGCCTTCAGAAATAGTGATTGATTCCTAACCACGTGTAATCATATCACATACATGCGGCGTGCCAGCGTTTAAATGCAGCGGCTGTCACCTGATCATTAACTTGAATGGGTGACAGCTGCCGCTTGTAAACGTCAGATTAGGGATTCCAGCTGGAGGAAAACACAAGTTCCTGACACAGGAATCTGTAATCGTATCTAAACATATAAGTGTGAACTGGGCCTTACATTGCAGTGTGCCCCCCTCCAGTGATGTCCATGCTCCCCCTTATGATTCCATCGTCTTCTGGGTTCTGAGTCTTCAGCTGTCTTGATTGCTTGTGCACGAGGGTTACTCATCCAGCACAAAGTCATGACGGGACTGTACACTGAGCTGTGCATACGTAGCTCAGGGTACAATTAGGAATAAATGATGACAGGATGAGGAGAAGCATTTATGGCAGAATAGAGACACAAAGTCACTTCAACTTTTGAAGGTCTCATTCACACAGCCATTCCTGACAGCACACCTCCCAGGTCAGTGTATTTCTGTGGCGGCTATGGTCAGCCTCTTACCCTGTACAAATCAATGACAGGCACTGTGGCTGTCCCCATGTAGTCACACATGGAGTGAATACCTGCAGTTAGGGACAGATGAGTGGCCCTGGACGTAAATAGTCTGCATAGACAGTCATTGATTTGTACAGGCTTCCAGTCTTAGCTGAGCAGCAATACCTGGCCATACCCGCCACAGAAATGCAATGATCTGGGTGGTGTACAGCCAGGAACAATTGTGTGAACGAGACCTAAAAATTCACTTAAGTTCCACTTTAATTAGATTGTTTGGTGCAGGTTTTTGGCTGACTTCATTTCCACTTTGGCCCCTTTCACACGGGCTTTCCGACCAGGTCCACCTGTCAGTTTTTCATGCAGATCTGATTGGAAGCCTCATGTTCATCTATGGGCAGCCAGATCTAAACAGACGGTCATCTGTTTACATCCGGTCACCCCTGACTCTGGCCAGGTCTGGAAAAAAAACGCATCAATAATCCATTTCGGCAGAACCGTTCATGTCAGAGTCAGCAGTAACCGGATGTAAACAGATGCCCATCTGTTTAGATCCCGCTGCCCATACGCAAGATGGAGGAAAAAACTGCATAGACATGAATGTCACAACGGTCACATCCATTCCGATCAGGAGGGGACCCATGCACAGATTCCCTCCTGATCATACATAAAATGAATTTTAAAGCAAAATATGTAATATAGGGTAATGCAGGGCTTGACAAATCCCCAGAGCCAGGTAGCCAATGTTCCTTAAAATGTACAGGTGGGGCCTAACTTTTTTTAAATGTTTCTCCAGTTGTTGTCAATGGAGCTGGCTCCTAAAAGACATCCTCTGGCCCCTGCAATGGGCAGACTGGCTCTTGAATTCCATATTAATATGTCTACCCCTGGGGTAATTCTTAATGCAGAGTAGGGCAGTTGGTCCACCTGGTTGGTAATCGGTCAATCTAGGCCTGATTATTATTATTATAATACAAGATTTATATAGCGCCAACAATTTGTGCAGCGCTTTACAATATAAGGAAGACATTACAATCACAATACAAATCAAGACAAGATGGTAAGGAGGGCCTGCCCATGGGGCTTACAATCTAAAAGGGAGGGGGAAGTGATACATGAGGAGGGAGCTGCGTGGGGATGAATTGTTTGAGAATGTGATGGTTCAGTGGTTAGGTTGAGGTGGGATAGGCTTCCCTGAAGAGATGAGTCTTTAGGGATCGCCTAAAGGCAGTCAAGGTGGGCGACAGACGGACAGGTTGGGGTAAAGAAGTCCAGAGGATTAGGTGACAGCCACGTGGGGATGAAAATGATTAGGGATTTATTTCTGGTTAAAGATAATACAGGTTAGAAAACCTCATCTAATGGCTTTAATTTCTCCCAAAGTAAGCTCATACCACCCTAAGTGGCCATTCACACTGGGCGTTTAATCACGGGATTTCTACCGCGATATCGCGCAAATTTGCCGCGCGATATCGCGAGAAGTCCCCGTCCAATGATTTTCAATGGAGCTGTTCTATTTAACAGCTCCATGTCGCTTGTGTGGGACCCTTTTTCCCGCGGATGTCGCGCAATTTTTCTATTTTTGCATGCAGCCTGACGGTGAAGGTCGCGCGATCGTCACTGGAACGTCGCCCCGCACAGTCGCGCTATACTGGCCGCGCGGATCCGCTCGAGGTAAGTGTCGCTTAGTGTGAATGGGGCCTAAAGCATAAACATGAACACTTGGGCAACCTGAACACCTTCAGAGGGCCAGGATGTGCTTCTACTTCATGTTGAGCAGCTTTACTCCGCTGTAATACAGGTTGGGGGAGGGGGTACCTATGTAAGTCAGTACTGTGTTGTAGCCTGAGTTTCCTGCTGTTCAGCTATCATCTCTAGGTCACGGCTGTAACCATTATCTTTTGTTGTGAAGCTTCTGCCTGACTTGCATGTTGCATGTCTTTGGTGACCTTGCAAACAATGTAAATGACTTGTGATGTATACCGCTTGTCATATGAGTGGAAACATGGATAAGTTAACCAGAAGCATCACAGCGGGAGATGGTGGCTATAGTTGTGACTGTGAATAGTATTTCACTGCTGTAGTCCTGTTACCAGTCTTTACAGACTGCTCCCTTGACTTACCACCTGCTGGCAGATTCACATGTAATATATTTTATATTTACCTGTTTGAATTAAACTAAAAATATATCTAGAGTACTATTTGTAGTACTGACCATTTGTAAACAATATTAAATATGAATCTTTACAAACCGCAACAGAAAGTAGTTACAGCCATTCAAATTGAAGCTATCCTTTTTCTAGGGCAGACTAACATGTTTTTGTGTTCACAGCACTGTTTTTACTTGTCTCATTTTATTGCTTAATGCAAACAGAAAACAGCCCAGATGTATTTCTTAATATTTCTAGTAATGGATATGGAAGAAAGATTAACAGCGGTCCACATACCTGCCATATAAATGTACAATTCAATTCTAGATGCAAAAGAAACAGAAGGAGAAGCTGCAGTTGTCAAACCAGTTGCAGGAAATGGATGACCGAATACAAGCAATGGCTGACCACCTAAGGAATGTCAGGCAAGAACTGAACTATACTCAGGTAATTTCAATATCTGAAACACCAGAAATACTTAATTATGTAGAGTCTACATCACCTTCTGTTAATAACATCATTCATAACGGTAAAATATCCCTTATTGTATTAATATAAGGAGATGGCAATTACCTCTTTCATTACTGGAGGATTTTGGCTCCGGTAGTGAATTTAGCTGAACACACCATCAGTATGACTCTATTCCCCCACTCCCTTCATCATATTCAGACCCTAGGACACACTTTTCTCACTCCTCAGTAATATCTCAACTCAACCACACAACTTTATAGAATCCATGTCACCAGTGAAATCTGCCTCTTAGTAAACACAGTTCACTCCTCAGTATCCATGTCACCAGTGAGATCTTCCCCAAAGCAGACACAGCTAAGTCACCAGTATCCATGTCACCAGTGAGATCTTCCACGAAGTAGACCAGCTCACTCACTAGTAAGATTTACCCCCAGTACACATAGCTCTCATTCCTATTTCAAAATCACCAGTAAGAACTTACTGGAAGGAGACAGCTCAGTCCCATTATCCATGTCACCAGTAATAGCTACCCCCAGTACACATAGCTCTCATTCCTATTTCAATGTCACCAGTAATAGCTACCCCCAGTACACATAGCTCTCATTCCTATTTCAATGTCACCAGCAAGAGCTTCCCACAACAAGTAGACACAGCTCAGTCCCAATATCCATGTCACCAGTAAAATCCTACCCCAAGTAGACACAGTTCATTACCTAGTAACCATGTCACCAGTAAGATCCACCCCTCTACCCCCCCTTCCCTAGTACGCATAACTCTCATTCTAGTATTTATGTCACCAGTAAGATCCACCCCTCTACCCCCCCTTCCCTAGTACGCATAACTCTCATTCTAGTATTTATGTCACCAGTAAGATCTACCTCCCCTCAGTACACATAGCTCTCATTTCAGTATCCATGTCACCAATAAGATCTTCCCCAAAGTAGACACAGTTCATTCTCCAGTATCTATGTCACCAGTGAGATCTACCCCCAGTACACAGCTCCCTCCCCAGTGTCCATATCGCAAGTGAGAGCTTCCTGCAAGTAGACACAGCCCAATTCCAGTATACATGTCGGCACTGAAATTTTAACCTTAGTAGACACAGCTTGTTCCACAGTATCTATGTCACCAGTGTGATTGGCATTGCTATGTCTTGTGCGTAATAGGCTGCACATGTATGTATCTTTATAACATATTAGTACAATGATGTAACTGAATATGCAGCATGTGCATAGTTGATCATTGCAAACATTCAGCCCACTTTAACATGGACACATTCCTCCATATAACATTAACAGATATGACTGTATCCTGTTGGTCACATCCTCCTGATACCCATTCTGCACATTCTTCTTTCCCCAAGACTGGCAGGACGTATCCACACCCATGTACCCCAACCAGCCATGCACGCTGAACCCCTCAAACCACACAATATTTATCATTAAATATAACATACTAATATATACAACATACTGTTAATGCATCTATAACACTAACTATTCTTTTTATAACACCTATACACCTGTATGATGTTATTTTTTAATATTGAGTTGCAACTAATAATCTTTTTTTCTGTTTTCTTAATCTTTTCCTAGACTAGGTAAATTTAGGACCACAATCAAGCAAAAACATAAAATAACCAACTCTGATGTTAGAAATGTATTTTAACCAGTAGTAGCCAATCATATCTCTACTAATTTAGTGTACAGTTTAGTGTAGCTGTAAGATTGTTAGCTATGTGACAGAGCAAAGACCCATGATCAGAACTAAGCAATTCAATATTGAGTGACTTATGGTGCAAGCTATGTTGGTCTGTAGCTGAAATACATTGTCCAAGGTTGTGCAGTGCAGAAATGTACTGGATTTGGCATCCTACAATTAATTATGAATAGCTTTAGTTGCACTGTCATATAACTACAAATCCTTTTTTTGCTTTGTGTTATAGCTCACCATTGCACTTGGACAAGAAAATTAAAGTCCAACTCATAGCAAAACTTTTTTAGTTCTATATAGAGTGGAGAAGAAATGCAAACTCTGTCTGTGCCCCTACTGGAAAGAATACACGTCACTTCCTGTCCAGGTCACAGGGCCAGGAGGTAAAGTGGAATCTCTCCAATGGGAACAGTAACAGAAAAAAAGCACATTTTTCTTAAGGGGTTATAAGAGTTGACAGATTTTCGCTGTATGTGTCCCATTGGGGAGCTTCAATTCTCTGTTTGTCCTGATGTCCATTGTTACCGAGACAGAAAATGAGGGAGAAACCAACATTTTAGATGTTGTCCCCAGAACAAAAGGTAAGGGGCAATTTTCCAAAGAGGAGACCTGTTCCAGGGACAGATAAGATGGGAACTCCCCTCACTTAGGGAGCTTTCCTGTAACTTCTTGTGCTTCCAGGAGAGGAAGTGAAGAGAAATGTCCCCAATGGTACACAAACAGCAAAAAAAACAAACTGGCGTGGGTTTTATCCCTTCCCTTACTCTATCCAAAAACAAAAGTTTTGATTGTACTGTATGTATGTACTTTCATGAATAACATGTAATCTAATGAACAACACTTTAATTCACTTTAATGACATCAAAAAATATAATGATGTAAATGGCCTCCAACAGTTATCAAGGACCCAACATCTCAACGACTCTTTGTAATTCAGCGTTTGTTCTGCAGATGAAATGTTTGCAGCCATGGCCTATCGTTGAAGGTAAACCTCTTTTGAGAGCTGTGGAAAGCAGTAGAGCGTTGAAGTAAAAAAACATTTACACAAAACACCTTTTTTGCTTTGTGTCGTTTTAGTGTGGTTTTGTGCGAACCCAATAACACACAGACAGGGGCCGTTAATGTAAAAACTGTTATTCCAGTCTCTTTGTAGGGCCAGAGAGAAAGAAATTGAAAGTGAAGAACACTTTAAAACTCTCGCTGAAAGGGAAACGGGGCGTCTAAAGCAGGAAATTCAACGTCTTCAAAACGAGCTGGTGTCCTTGAGGGAGAAGAAAAATAATCAAGAAGTAAGCCTTAGATGTAGATTCCTGTTCTCATTTGACGTAAATATAAATTCAAGGTAAAAGCAGTTGCAGCAAAGGAGCTTGCTAAAGAAATAAGCATTGTGTCTATACAATGCAATTTAACGTAGAGCACATCATTAAGCTATTATAGAAGACAATAATTGATATGTTAATACCGGGAAATGTTGTAGCCTCCTGCAGTGGAATAAGCGTCGTGTGAAGATACTGTTTCAAAGTCCCTATACATTGTTTCTTTATATTATAAACTGCCTGCTGAAAAGATACATAATAAATAAGTTAATTAAACACATCTGAATTGTTTATAACATCAAGGTTATAGTTGTCATCCGTAATTACCTCCTTATTATTTTATTTAGAATAACATATTCAAGGCCACTCAGAAACTGGAGAAACTGAAATGTCAGCTCAATTGGGACCAGCAGGCTCTGGAAGCCTGGTTGGAGGAAACCACTCGTAAAGACGAAGATTTCGTCGCCATTCAGAAATACGCTCAGAAAGATGAGGGGAAAATTAGGGTAAGTAATGTTTGTTTTGTCATTGTCACCTGTATATAGCTGGATGTATAATGGCAGTAAATATGAAATGTTTCTCTGTAGGAGTTGTCACTGCAGATTGAAAGGATGACCGTGGAAGCTAACCAAAAACGGAAACTCTTAGACAATGAAATGACAGAGACCATCACTGCACAGGTATGATCTTTAAGACACATATTTCTTTCTGACCGTATGCTAACTCATGGAAGGTGTCATTCACTTTTTTAAATCTATATATGTTTAGTCCTCACATTTTGTTCTATGCAGCAAAAGCTCACTTTAGAGTTGCCAAGACATTTATAATAAGTCAAGCGATCTAAATAATAGTAGTATGGATATTAAAGGAGAACTATGGGGTTAGGGCTTTCCCCATAGTTCTCCCTAGGGTAACGGGAGGACACAAACTAGCGTCCTCCCGTCACCCTAAGCTCAGTATACCGCGAGCTACAGCTCGCGGTATACTGAGACGCCGCAGTATACCACGAGCTACAGCTCGCGGTATACTGAGACGCCGCAGTATACCACGAGCTACAGCTCGTGGTATACTGAGACGCCGCAGCTGAAGCGGATACCAACAATTATGTCTGGATCCGCCCAGCTGTGTGAGTGACAGCTGGCTCGCCTATCTAGAGGCAGAGCCAGCTGTACCCTCCCCCTCCCCTGTCCGTTCCGCCAGTCAGCGCTGGAGGATCGGAGCTGGGGGAATCCAGCCCCTCCCCTGTCACGGCAGAGAGCTGTGACAGGATCGAGAGGTGAGTGAACGCCGGTATGTGTTCGCTCACTTCCCGATCTACTGAGCCGACCTGTGACAGTCTCATTGTCACAGGTCGGCTAGAAAAGCACTCTCCTCATAGTTCTCCTTTAAAGGAAATCTAATGTGAATTTGTTTTATGAAACGCTTATTTTGCTTGCATAGATTTTATATGCACAATCATTTATAAATAAATGGTATTTTATTATTTGTATCATTTTTTTTTCAGTATTCCCCTAAGCAGTAGTTACATCTTCATGTACAATGAACAGGAAGCATCTTCTTCTTTTTCAGATTGAGCTGGACAAGACAGCTGAAGATTTCCGCAAAGCACATTCAGAAAGACAACAGCTGATCCAGCAGTGGGAAAACACCATTGATCAGATGCAGAAAAGGGACAGTGAAATTGACCAATATGCACTGGTAAAAAGATATTTTTTTACAACAAATCAGTGACTTCCATGTAGAGACCTTAATAACTGATTTCTCTGCTTAATTTTTACATTTAAGGGGTTCATTTACTAAAAGCTAATAGGCTGTTTACTTTGCAAGGGAATTTGCACACTGGAGGGGAACTTAGCTTAGTGAATTTCACTTTGCAAAGAATACCCAATTATGTGCAAGGAAAATAAAAAACATGATTGGGTGATAGAAGTCAGCAGAGCATCACCTCATTCACTAAGCTAAGGGGAATTTCCCCCTGCAAACTGCAAATTCTTTTGCTAAGTGAACAGCCTACTTGCCTTTAGTAAATCAACCCCTAAGTGTCAATCCAGGGTACAATGTCTTAGCATGCCTTAAAAAATGAGCATTCAAGGGTTCAACAACAGAGTTTGAAAAACTTTAAACCATTGTGCCATAAATATTCTTCTTCATACCCTTTTCATAAAACTGAATGCAAAGTGAGTTGGAGTGGAGTTCTCATTGCTGAAATTGTATATACTATTTCTGCTGCTCGACAATAGTTTGTTTTATCTGATTGCGACTGCAGACCTTTAGGCAGAGAGCGTAAAACCTATGTATAGAAAAGCTAGGAAATGAAATACAGTTTAACAGAAGTGTTCCAACATGACAGGGCAGGGCAAGGTGGTTCATTGATGACTCTAGTTACCCCACTGGCATCATTACAGTTATTGCGGTCACATTGCATGTCTCCTCTTTATTGTTCTGCTCTACCATTATTAAATAAGCTATATATACACTGACTGGCCACTTTATTAGGTACACCTTGCTAGTACTGGGTTGGAGCCCTTTTGTCTTCAGAACTGCTTTTATTCTTTGTGGCATTGATTCAACAAGGTGATGTAAACGTTCCTTAGAGAGTTTGGTTCATACTGACATGATAGCATCACACAGTTGCTGCAGAATTGTCAGCTGCACATCTATGATGCGAAGCTCCACCAGCCTGAAGCGTTGATACAAGGCAGGATGGATCCATGCTTTCATGTTGTTTACATCAAATTCTGACCCGACCATCCGTATGTCGCAACAGAAATCGAGACTCGTCAGACCAGGCAACGTTTTTTCCAATCTTTTATTTTACAATTTTACTGAGTCCTTGCAAACTGTAGCCTCAGTTTCCTGTTCTTAGCTCACAGAAGTGGTACCCGGTGTGGTCTTCTGTGGCCGTAGCTCATCTGCTTCAAGGTTCAATGTGTTGTGTGTTCAGAAATGCTCTCCTGCATACCTCTGATGTGCCAAGTGGTTATTTGAGTTACTGTTGCCTTTCTATCAGCTTGAACCAGTCTGGCCATTCTCCTCTGACATCTGGCATCAACAATGTATTCTTGCCCAGAGAGCTGTAAACCCTAGAGATGGTTGTGTATGAAAAACCCAGTAGATCAGAAGTTGCTGAAATACTCAAACCAGCCCGTCTGGCACCAACAACCATGCCACATTCAAAATCACTTAAATCACCTTTCTTCCCCATTCTGACGCTCGATTTGAACTTCAGCAGACCATCTTGACCATGCATACATGCCTAAATGTATTGTGTCATGTACCATTTTTTCCCAATGAATTATATAGCTATGAACAACATAATTATGCATTGGCATTTACATTTATTATAGTGACGCCCAGAGAACTTTTGTACATTAGATTACTGTGATAGAATTTCTTATCGCTACAAGAATTGACATTAAGTACTGTTATTGTGTTAGGGTGGTAAAGGCATGTTGGTCATTTGAAAATATATTGTATTACAGTTTTCCATACAATTAACTGCTGGGATTCTCTTAGGATTGCACTATTAAACTGGCTAGAATAGTGTGCATCAATCATTGCCGGGAAAAACAATAATAGTTCAGGCTACATCATCCCAACCTTTAACTTAAGGGGAACAACTAAATACTCAGCGTAATACTGTAAACTCTATTACTTGCAAAAGGAATTTTAATTCTGTTCAGGTTGTCTTGTGATTCACATTTCTCTGTCATATTGCACAGCCAGACAGGTGTCAATGTTTACCTTGGCCTGACGTCCATCAGAGTTACTGTGCTTCCCGGGAGAGCTGGGAGCCCCAAAGCCCTAAGACTGCTACTGGCTGCCGCCATCTTGGCTGTGTTGTCAACAGTCACAGCAGACTCAGAACTGCCACTCAAGTGACACTCGATATTATTCCCCTTTACTCCCCCAGCAGCTATATAAAAGGTTTTGTAGGGAGGTGAGGGGCGGGGGCCTTGGCGTTAGTATTTAGACACTAACAGAAAAAGAGAGGGCCTGCAAGATGACATGCAAGGAGGGAAGGGACTGTGCTAGGAAATTGACAGTCAAATTTTCAAAGACACATTGCAATTGAATAAAAAATAATTTATGGAAAGCAGCCACTGCAAGTATTCACTTAAATTATGTGATTCTTCTATTATTTTACCTGCAATGTTTTAACCTAGCTAAAGGGTCTCTTTTAAGCTATTGAGTTCAGTCAACAACAGGGTTTTTTCAACAAGGAGCTAAGGAGACCCTGGAAAACGTGGCAAAAGGTATCTAAGGCTGACTGTATTTTATACTAAATCAAAGTGAAACTTTTGTCTGTGGTGGTTCGATCAGCAGAGACAGATTTGCTTTCCCCTGATCTGACCTGTCTGTCATGATTGCAGGAATTAAGTGACCAGTGTTTTCAGCAATCACTGCAGATCAGTGCGACAGTGGGAGATGTACTGAAGTGAATAGGCAATCCAAACTAGTTTATAATGCTGCCTCACATGGGGTATTGGGAGTTTACAGCCCCTGAATAAACTTTACATTTAAGGGTATACGCCAGCCAGACATGAAAATGTTACATTTAAAGCCTATCTCTAGGCAAAATAAAAAAATATCTTTGCAGTGGGGCTACCCCCACACTGTAAGGGTAACTGCTCGTTTATGTCTAAGGGGACTTTTACTTATCGGATCCCCGCTCCCCCAGTGGTCAGCGCTCACCTTTCCCCCCTCAGTTCCGGGGCAGTTCTTGTGGACTGCCCCATGCTACCCACGCATATACAACAGGGCTGTGGGCCCTGCATTAGATATGACGATGTCAGTGGGCATCTGACTGCCAGGGGTGGAAGGCAGAATTGGCTGCTTGCACTAGTATTGAATCCAGCAGGAGCGGGAATCAGGTAAGTAAAAGAGTTTACACAGGTCCCCTAGACAAAAATGCACAGGCAACCCTTGCAGTGTGTGGGTAGCCTCACTGCATGGGGAGTTTTTTCTTTTGTAGCTGGAAATAGGCTTTAAACTCCCCCAGGGGACAGACCCTACCTGCTGATTTCTGCTAATCTAAATATTCACTGCCATGTTTGCTAATTACTGGGGCTGCCATTGTCCTTTTTCCTGAATGGCCATGAACCCAAGCCTATAACAATGCAGTGAAATGTTTCCTAAATTCAAACACTGCACACATTGTCTACAAACATAAAGAGCGTGTATCAGATTGAATGAATGTAGCTATCTAACACTAAGTTTTCTTTCCTAGCTGTTAGCTCAGGTCAAGCAAGAGTTACGAGACAGAGAAAGTATAATCAAGGAGAAAATCCAGTTCCTGAACAGTGAAATTGACAATAACAAGGAATACGAGAAGAAGATTGACACTGTAGAAAGAAAAGCAGCCAAACTGAGACAGGACTATCAAGAGCAAGAGGCTGTGCGGAACAATCTACAAGATGAGGTAACATCAGAAAGAGACAGAGAACAGTGTGGATTAAACACATCTATTGAAAACAGCAGATACAATGTTGTGATATTGTTGAGAGTTTCTGTGTACCAACAGAAATTCACCAAGTTCTTCTGATTTTTGAAGTTTATCTGTTATCAGTAATTCAGTGGAGTAGTGCTAGCTGTGAAAATACACTTTAATGTCAGGGACCTGAATACCAGAATTCTACTATTCTGAAGATCATAGCTATACCAAACATGTTTGCTGGGGCTAGAGGCAGGTTGCTCAGTGATTTACAGCCTGCAACTTAATAATTTGCACAGCAGAGCCGAGGACTGTTTGAAGTCACAGCCCTTGTTTAAAATCGACTGATGAGCCAGACAGGTTGCTAAGATATATGCATCCACAGATTCATATGGAACTAGATAGGTACCTTGTGTCCTAATAGTCAGTACAACGCAACACGTAGATTTCTGACAAGGGCTCTGGCTTCAAACAATCCTCGGCTCTCATGTGGAAGATAGTAAGTTGGCGGCTGTAAATCACATAACAGACACCCTCTGGAAGCTAGTTGAAATTGTTTAAAAGACAACTATGGCACAACCTTTTTTTTGGCCATGGTTTTCTTTAGGGTCACTGGAGGGCAGGAGCGCACATCTGCACTGCAGCCAGGACAGATCCCGACAATATTGTCAGGATCCACCCCACTGCCTGATTGACTGCTGGCTCTACCTCTCTAGAGTCAGGGCCAGCTGTGCCCCCCCTCACCTGTTTGTTCCTCCAGTCAGCACTGGAGGACCAGAGGGGAGGGGGGAATCCCTGCAGGGAGCGGTGGCACCCTACAGACATGGCATCCCATGTCTGTTTTGCAGAATGGTGGGGCTTATCTACAGAATGCAGTGGAAGTGGCCACACATGTAGGAATGCAATGGGTTTCTGGCCAGCGTTTCTGGATCCCTCAATGACATGAATAGTCCGCTCTATTGATAAACATCTAATATTTATCTAGTATAATACCCAGTGCTGAATGTTTTGTACTCGATGGAGCTGCCCTTCACTGTAGTTCACATAATTCAAACCTGTGTATATTTTGCGATCTGCCACACATAACCGCTTTTCCTTTTTTCTTATTAACAGCTGGATACTCTGAAAGGGACTGTTGATAGAACAGCTACCGAATTAGAAGTAATGAGGATTCAAGTCAACAATCTAAAGAAAGATATCAGGAATAAAGAAGAAAGGTAAGTACTGATTTTTTTTTATTATTTGCCTTTTTTTTGTTTACAGTACCGCAATTCTGTATTCTCTTAGAAACGTTCATTTTAAATGTGATGTGATTTCAAATCTAAATGTGATATTTTTAGGTTGAATCTGTCAAAAGAACATAATAAGGGCCTGACTGAAAAGCTGAAGGTTGTCAATGAATCTGCATTGAGTGTAGAGGAGAAAGCACAGCGTATGGAGGAGATGCTGAAAGAACAAGAGAAAACAGTGAAGGTAAGGTTCCCTGGCTTATTAATTGAAGCAGTGCAAAGATTACTGTGCATCACTGTGTAGTAAGCCATTGCAACCAACCAACCACATATAGAACAGTCAAAACAATGAAAGATGCTTGGTACTAAATACTATATGTGTGTGTATGTATGTGTATGCACATGTGTTTGTGTGTGTGTATATATTCCTTGGCTCCCTCTAGTGGTGGTAATGCCATGCAAACGGCATTTGGCCAGCGTATGGCTGGGCAGAAGGTTCATAAATAGATCCCTAAATCTGTATGTAGCGCCATCCCTATAATAAGGTAGCATGAGGCTATTGCCTTAGGCAGCATCTCTTGAGTCATGTGGGGAAGCGGCAAGCAGAGTGGTATGGCCGCTCTGCTGCAAAATGTTTGCAGTGTGTCTGCTACCCCCTTTCCGGCCAGAGTGTCCCAGGTTGCTAAGAGCTGGGCGGGGAGATGTGTAATGGCCATAAACATCTCTCCGCCCAGCTCTTATCATCCTCGGATGCTCTGGCCAGGGTCCCGCTCCGCTCCTGGCAGCCAGTGAAGTCACTGGTTACCAGGAGCTGAGCGGAACACTCTGGCTGGCATTCTGCCTGTACCACCAGCCCCCATGGCCTGAGGCGATCAAAAAGGCTCAGGATGCCCCTGTATATATGTATTCTATCTCTTCCTTGAGGACTCATTCATACTGTGCACCTAGGGGCTAATTTCTACAAGGGCTGACTGCCAAAGATGCTGCTATAGGTAAAGGGCCTGCAATTTACAGAGCAATATTGATAGACAAATTGCAGTAACTGGCAGCAGTCAATCCAGTTTCATTTTTATCAGTACAGTAAAGAATGATTCCTGATCAGATTTCTATGGACTAGTGCATTTGGCACGTTTATTTATTAAATAAGCTTGAAAATGTTGCAGGAGGAATGACCGAGGACAATGTTGTCAACATATATGTATTCTGTTACCATTAGTTCATACCATACATGTGTGCAAGACAAAAATAAATTGAGCAATAAATCTAAAATACCATCTGCAATTACACTATTCCCTTACAGCAGACTGTAAAGAAATAGAAATGTCTTTTGTTCAGATACTGTGCGAAACGACCACTTTAATCTTGCCATTTGTACCCGCAGAATCTGGAAGCCCAGCTAAAACAAATAAGAGAGCAGCATTTCAAGAAATCGCAGGAGCTGCATGAATACAAGACAAAAGAAAAGCACATGATATCAGAAATTAGTGGAAGTCAGGTCTTGCTGAGAAACCTTAATAGTCAACTGCAAAAACTTGACCTACATGCTTTAAAGCAACAGGGGATCATTTACAATCAGGTACAAAACCACGCTGGCTTTCAACCATTAAATCCCTTAAATGCCACTGCTGTGTGATTAGCGAAAGCTAACCACATGCAGGACATTTTTCATAATTGAAATATTTTCAAATATAGAAAAGCAGCTTGGAAAAAAGCCTAATAATAAACAAGCATGTGAAAAGACAATGTGGGTATGTAACATTTACCATAAAGTATTCAAGTTTATAATTGCATTATGATGCATGCATGATTATAAAGTGTTATTTTTAACAATGTATTTTTAAAGATGACAAGGCCTTGAACTTTTTCTGAAATCACATTTGAAAAATATTTATAGATAGCAAGTGCTCTTCACTGGTATTAAAAGTGTAAAATACTGGTTGGTGTTGATATGAAATTGTCCATATGTGTTTTAGATGTACCCAATACCATTTTTATAATGCTTTTTCACCCTATATTAAAGTGGAAGTAAGAGTTAAAAGAAATCTGATGACAGATTTCTTGACAGCAGGCTTGTTTATGGCAGAAGAGACTGTGTAAATCTCTTTTGCCATAAATGCTTTGTTCTACCATTCAGCATTTTTTTTTTCTTCTGAGATACTCATGCGCAGCACAGCGCACAGGCCCTGCATGCCAAGATGAAGTAACTCCCATGCGCATGTGCAGGACTTACGTCATAGGGGTACAGCCAATCAAGCAGCCAAACACTCAACACCCAGAAAAAGACTAGGGAGAAGATGGAAGCGACGGTGAGGGAGAAGTGCTTCGCTGGAGGGGATCGGTTTGGCAGGTAAGTCTGCCATAATGTGCTAATATGCTCTGCATACTCGCACAGTGTGGCTAAAAGCTCTTTTTTTTGTAAATAGCTTTACTTCTGCTTTAAACCCAGACAAGAGACAGGCTTATCATATCTAGCAGGAGAAAACCATGCTGTTAAATATTACATGCAGCATCACTACAGATCAGAACTAGTTTTGAGCCTTGTTCAATGAGATATAGTAACCAATGCTTTGCCAAAAATAGTGAACATGTAGTACAAAATTAGTGCTGAAACCCTCCTGCTGTGAGCTGCAGTGTCTAGGGGCGGAGTGTAAGAGACAAAAATAATTGAGTATCTTGCTCATTCAGGGGAAGGTAAGTAAGGTAAGGAAATGTGTTTGTTTACAGTGTAAGGCTTCTGCATCACATTATTAACTGGATTCAGTTCTTGATTATACTCTGATACAGGAGCCTTTAGATGTACTTTAAATCATGTTATTGGGTGTGTACTGACAAGCTTTTGCATTTACAAATAAAAAAGAAGGAGTCATGTCTGTTTCCAGTGAATTGTCACACATATTGCACCTAACTCTTTATTTTGTACAGGATTTCCAGATACAGCAGCTAGAGCGCAGGCTATCACGCTTAAAAGGTGAAGTCAACACAGATGAGAAACATGCCTTGGAGACAAAAGTATCTGAACTTACAAAAACATTAGATGAACGTAAAGCTTCTCTTAATATCTTAAACACCCAGCACAAAAAGCTTCAGGTAACACCGTTTATCTGTTCAAATGTTAGAGACAGTGATAGTTTTTGTTCTAATGGACATACGCAAAAAAACTGAATATTTATGTAATCAAACCTTTGGGTGATCTTGACGTACCCCTAAGCTGAGAACAAGTGTCACTGTACACTTTTACCAAAGTATAGTGGGGTAGCTACTAAAATTCCCGTCTTTTGGATAATTCTGTACTGCAGTACTGTCCTATCATTGTATTTCATGTTGTGGTCAGTTGTACCCCATGAACCAGTGTCAATCAGTTTTTAAAATGATTTGAATTCAGTGAAAGTTTCACACCTCAATTTTATGGCAGTTTCTTTTCTGCACTGCTGTAACTGGTTTTAGGGTACCTGTAGGCATGAGATGACAGTTACTTAATCAGTGATCTTATATCTTTGAGTGACATTCAAGCCAGCCAACCATGTCAGGGAGAACAGTTGTTGGTTCAGGTTGGAAAAACCATCCCGATAGTTAACGAAGAATTATGAGGTGAGTGCTTTTCACTCACCTCATAGTTCTAGCCGACCTGTGATAATGAGACTGTCACAGGTCGGCTCAGTAGATCGGGAGGTGAGCGAACACATACCGGGTTCGCTCACCTCTCGATCCTGTCACGGCTCTCTGCCGTGACAGGGGAGGGGCTGGATTCCCCGCTCCGATCTGCCAGCGCTGACTGGCGGAACAGACGGGGGAGGGGGCGGGTACAGCTGGCTCTGCCTCTAGATAGGCAGAGCCAGCTGTCAGTCACGCAGCTGGGCGGATCCAGACATAATTGTCGGGATCCGCTTCAGCTGCGGCGACTCAGTATTCCGCGAGCAGCAGCTCGCGGTATACTGCAGCGTCTCAGTATACCGCAAGCTACAGCTCGCGGTATACTGAGCCTAGGGTGACGGGAGAACGCTAGTTTGTGTCCTCCCGTTACCCTAAGGAGAACTATGGGGAAAAGCCTTAACCCCATAGTTCTCCTTTAATGTTCCTCCCTGATAAATATGCTCTGATTACTTCATTCACACCACAAGGAGCGAAGTAGTGATAATTGAGCCAGGAGAAATGCTGACTTACTAAAGTATGATTCTCTTGAATATATGTACCCAGATCTTTTGTTTGATCTTTGGGCATCACTTAATTTAGGAAGCTTGCCAATTATGACTCGGTTATCATATGATTATATGCAGATTGGACAAGATCTGCACAGCTATGTCCAGCATGCAAAAATGCCAAAGATTGGTCCAAAATGCAAAGATTGGTTCACTTATCACTACTTACACAAGTTAATAGAGCACTCTGTAGTGCACTGCCGTACACGTGTCCTGAGCGTACAAGTATCATGTGTGAAGACTGACCACATTCTGAAGTCTGTTCTTTTGTAGTGTATTACTGTGTAATGTTTATGTTTCTTTCTTGTCTGACTATATATTGTTTTGTTAATAGGGTGATGTACGGTACATTAAAAGGGAGCTTGAAAAAACAGGCCAAGAGAAAGGAGGTCTGATTAGTAAAATGGAGGAACTTAAGCTGTTCAACACCATGTCTGATAAAACATTGAAGAAGCTCCGAACATCAAAACAGGTAATTACCAACTGTATTATTATTGTTCAGAAAAGTTCTGTTACCACACCCACATATCTAGTGCCTCTTAGTCATATCTAAAACCTATGTACGGTTGGAGATAAATGGGGAAACAATAGAGCAAAAGGTGAACTATAGTCTTTGTCCTTTATAATGTACATGCGAAAGTGATCAACTGAACTTAAAGCCCAAATCCCCAATAATATAACAAATTCATCAATGGGCTGGGAAAAAAAAAAACAAAAAAGTTTCCAAGACCCCCTTTTCACTTATCTTAAGGTATGGTGACATCAGCACTGGGTCATCCAGCACCGGGTCTTTCTCCTCTCTACTTCTTGCTGGGGTCCTTCTGTAAGGTGCCCACATCACTGCCTGCATGGTGTGGGCAATTACCATTGGCTATCCACAAGAGGGGTCCTCTCAGGATCCAGAACACTACTGATGTCAGCCCGGGGGGAGTCAAGAGGATCGGCCAGCACGGGTTACTGTGCAGTGCTGCATTAGCGGCCCACCACTGATGGAAACAGTGTCAGTCAGGTACCTAGATGAGGGGCTCAGGTGAGTATTGGAAGTAATTTGCTTCACCAGGTAAGAAAATGGAAAACCCTGGCAGAATAGGTTGGGGGGAGGGGTAGGGATGGTAACGAGAGAGAGAGTTTGGAGTTGGGCTTCATATAATTTTTATAGCGTGTCAATGTTTAAACCCCTTGTTTCTATTTATAATTTATGATTGTGTGTGTGTATATATATATATTTATATATATATATATAAATATATATATATATAATGTATTTTATTTTAGGATTTAATGGTTGAAGACAATATTCTGAAACTGGAAATCAAGCGGTTAAAGGACATGTTGTACAGTAAAGCAGATGATGTTTTCTCGCTGGCGAAACGCAAGTTACAATTACAGACTGCAATGAAGGAGCGGACACAAGAAATCGCTGTGCACAAAGAAATGCTGAAATCTCAGATCAGACTTGTAGACCAGGAGCGGCAAAATATAAGGTAGATATCTCACTTGATGAAATATCTTACTAAGAATGATGGCCAATTAGACATCTGCTCATTTTGGTTTCATCGTAGGATGATCATAGGATAATCTGCAATATTCCTTCTGACTAGGCTTATTAGTGAGTATCAGTGTGAACAGCCACACATTCTCTGTATGCAGTTACAAGCACTTTCAATTATCACAAGAATATTGCCCCCAAAGACCTAAGAATTACACAAAAGCATTCCAGTAGCGGAACTCTGGGATAAGCAAATATTGCCTAAAACTAGAGTCAAGTGTATTCTTGGTGAGCTTTGTGTATTTCTTCCAGATCTGTGCAGTAATACATTGTGAAACCTTGCCTCTGTGTGGGAGCTTCCTGTAATAAAGACCGGTCAAGGCTGCTCTCCCTCCTTGTGCAGGGTGACTAGTCTTGTCTCCACGCCCTCCTATAGTTTCCTTCAGGCAGCCTGTAGTGGGTTGGGCCTGCTGGGCCCTTAAAGGAGAGCTATGGGGTTAAGTCTTTTCCCCATAGTTCTCCTTAGGGTAACGGGAGGACACAAACTAGCGTCCTCCCGTCACCCTAGGCTCAGTATACCGCCAACTGTGTTGTGGACTTGAAGGCGGATCTCTGTATTTGGGTTCAGTTACTAAGTGGGGATTTTAAATTACTTTTTGAAAAGTTAATATCTAAAAGCTGAAGAGATTTTAACTGTAAACTTTGATTTGTCTAGCTTCGAGCTCCAGGACAGACTTGCAAAAGTTGATAAGATGAAAAAAAGGTTTGAAATAATTACTGTTGCAATGATGCCCCCAGAGGGAGAAGAGGAGAAGTCGCAGGCTTATTACATAATTAAGGTAAGATTTATAAGAAAAGCACATACTGTATATGTAAATCTTGTTTTTCAACTAGAAAATAACAAGACTCTTAAAACCTATGAAATTCTTTAGAGGTGAAAGCACTACCCCTCATCCCTGATACTAGGACAATAAATGAATCTCCAATTTCCAGCCCAGCATAACAATAATGTGTGTCATGATATACAGTAGATCTTCACTTTCCATACAATGATAAGAAGAAGCATGGCGGAACACCCAGCTCTGGTTGTTTCAATCTGTTGCTAGCCATGATTCTTATTGGATCCTACAGAGCTATTTTCTTTGAGGTGTGAGAACAAGGCTCCCTCCTGACTACAAGCAGTGGGTGAGAGATAATACCCCCAACTAAAGTATATTATACAATGGACGTTGTGATCTAGCAGCGTTCTCTTTCATGTCCATTGTGAGACATAGCCACTGGGGTGAAAAGGCTGAGAAACTCTGCACAAGAGTGTTGAAGCTTTGGAGTTCACATGTAATATTTTCATTTTCTGCACACAATATAATTACCTGAAATTGTAAAGATTCTGAACCCTGTTGGACTGTTTGGCTTTTGCAAATGCCAGTTAAAGGATAAGTGCACTACAAAACATAGTGCACTTATCTCTTAGGCCCTGATAACCCCTTCCCGACTGATGACCGTATTATCCCGTCACGATCGTTCAGTTCGTTAACGACCGGTGACAGGATAATCCCGCCATTTGGTACAATAAACGCTGATCCGTGAAGGGTTAGGTGGCCACAGTCCCGTGATCAGAGCGAGAGCTGATTGCTGTGATCGTAGAGCCATGACAGTCACAGAGATGGCGGCAGTTTACTGTGTTTTGTAAACAGCTAGCTGGCTGTGTTACAAAAGTGATACAAAGTATCTCTGAGGAGAATACTGTATTCTACTCAGAGATACTAAGTATCAAAGCCCTTGTCAGTAAAAAAAAATAACCCCTTAGTGCCCCCTAGTTTAAAAAAAATACATAAAAAGTTTTTGTTTTTTTTATTAAAAAAAGGAAAAAAGTTTGAAAAAAATATTTTTAATAAAAGAATTTACAAGAAAATATAGCACAGGGGTGGCTATTAAAGATAGAAGGCAAACATACCACGTTCTAAAATTGTTACAAACTAAAATTGTATTTCACTATATCTATAACTCCCAAAATAAACTGAAATCCCAGACATATGATAGATATACACTATATTGCCAAAAGTATTGGGACGCCTGCCTTTACACGCACATGAACTGTAATGGCATCCCAGTCTCAGTCCGTAGGGTTCAATTTTGAGTTTGCCCACCCTTTGTAGCTGTAACAGCTTCAACTCTTCTGGGAAGGTGTCCACAAGGTTTAGGAGTGTGTCTATGGGAATGTTTGACCATTCTTCCAGAAATGCATTTGTGAGGTCAGGTACTGATTTTGGACGAGAAGGCCTGGCTCACAGTCTCCACTATAATTCATCCCAAAGGTGTTCTATCGGGTTGAGGTCAGGACTCTGTGCAGGCCAGTCAAGTTCCTCCACCCTGAACTCGCTCATCCATGTCTATATGGACCTTGCTTTGTGCACTGATGCGCAGTCATGTTGGAACAGAAAGGGGCCATCCCCAAACTGTTCCCACAAAGTTGGGAGCATGAACTTGTCCAAAATGTCTTGGTATGCTGATGCCTTAAGAGTTCCCTTCACTGGAACTAAGGGGCCAAGCCCAACCCCTGAAAAATAACCCCACACCATAATCCCCCCTTCACCAAACTTTACACTTGGCACAATGCAGTCAGGCAAGTACCGTTCTTCTGGCAACCGCCTAACCCAGACATGTCCATCAGATTGCCAAACAGAGAAGCGTGATTCGTCACTCCAGAGAACACGTCTCCACTTCTCTAGAGTCCAGTGGCGGCGTGCTTTACACCACTGCATCCGATGCTTGGCATTGCACTTGGTGAAGTAAGGCTTGGATGCAGCTGCTTAGCCATGGAAACCCATTCCATGAAACTCACCACATACTGTTGTTGTGTCAATCTGAAGGCCACACGAAGTTTGGAGGTCTGTAGCTATTGACTCTGCAGAGAGTTGGCGACGTCTGCGCACTTTGCTCTTCAGCATGGGCTGACCCCGCTCTGTCATTTTACGTGGCCTACCACTTCGTGGCTGAGTTGCTGTTGTTCCCAGTTGCTTCCACTTTGTTATAATACCACTAACAGTTGACCGTGGAATATTAAGTAGCAAGGAAATGTTTGCACAGGTGACAACCTATCACAGTACCACGCTTGAGTTCACTTAGCATGCCGCAATCAGTTGATTGAAAGAGCCAGTCGGAAAATCTTCTAATGAATGGTGCTTTGCAGTCAATCAGCTACAAACACAGTTTGTATATTCTGACAGCATAGAAAAATACATAGAAAACAATTTGTTTGGGGGATTTGTCCATCAACAAAAGAACAGTGCATGTTTAGATTGAAAGCTCTCACAAGCTCTCATCTTGTCTTGAATTGTATTGTAACTGTTGGCTTTATATAAATCCTGTATAATAGTATAATGTAATAATAGGGGAAAGATCTTGCCACTTGACATCAGAATGCGTTTCTTCAGGCTCCATCTGCTTTCTCTCTGGGTCTCAGATGCTTTGTGATCATGTAGTATTTCTTTATCCAATTGTTTTTTTCAACAACTGTTGTTCTTAGAGTGCGATCACATACAGTCTTCTCTTATAGGTTCAAATCACAGGGTCAAATGCAAAACAAAACCTCCAGTTTCCAACAGGTTCAAAATGTTTTTAGTCACTTAGCTTTGTGTGGACTCTTCCTTTTGCTTTTTCCAGCTGCTTCCAGAAAACTATACTTTAGAAAGCCTTGCCAATCACTTGTATTTGTGCTCTATTTATGCCTTATTTTGAACTTTGTTAAAAATTATTGAGAGCGGCTGCAAAACTATAATATACCAGCCTGTAGACAAAACTGATCACGCTTTGCATAATGGTTCTTTAAGGCTGCACAAGAAAAGGAGGAACTTCAGCGTGTTGGTGATGAGCTGGATGCCAAAATCCGCAAGGCTGAAAAGGAAATCCATGCCCTAGAAAACACGCTGCAGGTCATTAATGGCTGTAACAACTCCTACAGGAAATCGTTTAATAAAGTTACTGAATCAAGTAAGTCTGCTTGTAGATTGGTGATAATGTATCCACATACTGAATCTGCCAAATCCAGTACATTTAGCACCAGCAGTGTAGGGTGACGGTCTACCGGAATGGATATCATTTTAATGGATTGTTTAGACGGGCCCTCATACTACGGAACACTTGGTAAATTTTCTTGATCTGACAGGTCAACTCTGAAGCATTATGTGTGTGTGGCCATCTTGTCATTGTACCTCTGCCATTAACAGGAATTCAGAATAAAAAGAACAGACTATTTATAACAAATTTGCAAGAGGTGTTTAAGAAAACCCGTGCAGGATTTCATGTGCTGAAAGCATGCAACTCACAGCCTTAGAAATTTGGTAGCAGTCTGACATGTGTTTATGGTTGGATGCCCAATGGTCTTCTTAGATTGCAGGGATATGCATGCTTTCTTCTGAAAGCAGAGCTGAATCATCCACAATGCAAACTAGTCAGGAGCTTAGGGCTAAATGGATGTCCAGGGGGGTCCAGCTACAACCGTTATGCTCCTGCAGTAAGCCAAGGGGATAGTGCAGTTGGTGAAACCTGTAAACCTGCCTGTTACTTTATAGGGGAGCATGTACTTGTAGTTATAGGCAATGCAAATGGGGTGGCTTCTCTGTATCTATTGCAATCCTAATGGAAGGTTGGGGGGGGTGGGGGGGGGGCAAAGTTGCTTCTTTACTTGTCTTATTCCGTCTCTGCATGATTATGTAGCTTAGTGTCTGCTAGCATATGAAAGTTCCCATAGACATTACGACCAAGCCAGAGCTGGCCATGCCACAGTTCCCTAATATAGGTACCTTTACTTACTTATAGAGGAGAGGATCAACAGTGGTGAAGAATCAACATTGTTTTCTTAGTTGCTGCCTTTCATACCATAGAATATGGAGGTGACAACACCACTACCGATTTCAGAAATAGTCGCACTCCAAGGGTCTTCATCAAAGATAAAAATCTTTATTTATGGAGCAAATACATAGTTTGTTCTTCCCCACGGGTACTCCACACTGATGCATTTCACCAATCCTGCTTATTCATATATCTCTATGAGTAAGCCGGAATGGTGAAAACGCGTTAGCAGTTGAGCACCTGTGGGGAGGAACTAACAGTATGCATTTGCTCCATAAATAATGCTTTTTAACTTTGGTGAAGATCCTTGGAGTGTGGCTATTTCTGAATTTGGTTGCTATAGGCGGCAGCGCTCTTGTTTGCCTGCACCTGGGATGCACTCACAGTACAAGTTGTTTTTGGAATTTGAGCAGTGTTTTCTGTGGATTACCACTATCTCATTGCTTTAATTGTTCATCTGACACTTGAGAAGGGTACGCCATGTTTTCTGGCTTTCTATATGAGTCAGACCATGGTCTGAGGATGGGATGGGGTGGGGTTGTGACTATGAGTGGATCTCTTCTGCACACACCATTATAAGTAACAGCACATTGTTTGCTTTGTTACAACAAATACTGACTACCAGAAAATATTAGCTGCAAAATCATAACTCTTCAGTGCATTTCCTTGCTCTCAGGTGAGGAGTATGAAGAAAAAATTCAGCTAGAAGAACAGAAGAAAGCTACTGAGGAAAAATATAGATACAAGCGGAGGCAAATCAAAGAGCTGCAGGAGGACATGCAGGTAAGGAATCATATGAGCACAGCAGTGGTGGCAGCAAGAATAAAGTAATCAAAAGAAGCCGTAAAAATGTCCATCAGCATGAGGTGTAAAGTATCTTTTATTAAATAACACTAAGTAAGGAAAACTCAAAACATACATTTCATATATTGGTACACATTATGGGGCTTCTTTAGATACATGCACAGTCCAGTATATACAATGGCAGTTCTTTCATTGTTCCAATTGCTCTTAAAGGTGAACTCCAGGCAGATTCAAATTAATGTCGCTTTATGTTCATTAATACAATCTTTTTTTAATTGCAAGCAGTTTATGTTCCTGAGTTTGACTTGGCATTGTTGTCCCTGTACGTGCAGCCCCTGCACAGCAGAGCCCAGGCTAGGAGAGAAAAAAACAGCACAAGGAGCAATCATTTGGGGTGCAGTGCTCATATGATAACAAGGAGTATACTGATATGGGGTGAGAGCAGAGCTTACCACTCTGTTCCTTCTTCTCTTACTGTCCAGTCACAGGCTGGAGAAAGAACAAGACATGCAAATGTTACTTAAAACTGAACTCCAGCTTTCCCTTCAGTCTTGCACAAAGACCCATGCCTATGAAGAGAACAGCATCATCTAGCGTTTTCCTTCCCATTCTTACTGCACCTGACCGAACACCTTCATTCTTTAGATTTTAGTTCTTTCAATTATGGGGACCCCCATGACCACACTGACCAATGAGTGCTGGCCATTTGCGGGTGAAATTTGAAATTTGTTAAGGGGCAGATTGGTGGGGGTAAATCCATTTCCCAAATTCACCTGGAAAAGTGGAATTACTCTTTAGGCCAGAGTTACTGTAGATACCAAGTACAAATCTAAGACTACGTCACACCTCCGCATTTCTCATGTCGCACATTCATCTCTATGGAAGATGCGTTTTACTGAAAATGGCACCAGAGATTAAGCAAGCACAGATTTTTTTTTTTTTTAGACCTTTGCAACAATAAGGGCACATTCACATGCAGTGCAGCATACTGCAGTGCCATACAAAAACTGCTGCAGGTATGATTTTAGGCCTAATGTGGTGTGTTATGCAGCTCCTTCAAATGAATGGTCTGCCTTATTACAATGCATGTTACTGCCCATGCTAAAAAGCACCACAGCGGACCTGACTGTTGCTAATGTGCTCTAAAATGCAAAAGTGTAAACAGAGCTTTATTCTGCAAATTATTCCTGGTTTTTGCAACAAACAATTATTTGTAAAAATGTGTATTTTCTTTTTAAACACAAAAATTAAACACAAAACAAACAGAAGCTGCAAACAGGTAAAATGAGAGTAGATGAAGCGAAGAGTTCATTTGGGCTAATTGGAGGTTAACTAGATAAGGTAGGTAAGGAAATCACAAAACAAACCTTTGACCTGCAGTAACAGGCTGCAACTATGAAATGTAACAATAAAGTTACATCATTTCAATGATCACTGCAGTTAAAAGAAAAAAAAAAAGGCTACTGTTAGGCCCCATTTTTTATGCGCGTAGTACGGGCGTTTTCTGTTCATATGTCAGTGCGTTTTTGAAGCTCGTTTTCAGTTGTCCAATGAGAAGCAAGCTCAGCTGCTGAAACGCGCATAAAAAATGTGCGGAATCGTGCAAAAACGCACTGATCAACCCGTTTCCATTGAAGTCTATGTAGCAAAATGAGCTGATCAATGCGACAAAAGAAGCTCAGGGTAACGAGCACATATAGACGATCGGCGGGCTATGGAGCCGCCGATCGTCTATACGTGAAACACCCGGTAACGGGTGTTTGCATTGGTCGGGTCTTTTCTGGCCGTGCGCGCCGCTAGCCGTTTTTTACAACGGGCGGACGGCAAGTGGTTAAAGCAACAGGCGTATTTGTACGCGTGATTCTGCGTACATTTGCATGAACTGCCCCCATAGGAATGTATGGGATTTTATTTGCATGCGCTTCGGCGTGGAAAAATCCACGCAGCGAAACCCCCCACGTGTTAACGGGGCCTAACAGCGATCACTTAAGCAGGAGCTGCTGTCAACGGCTTCTGCTTTCACACAAGACTTCGGCAGGTTCATGTGTGAGAGACCAACCACACTTAGGTTGGGGGCACACTTAGGTTGGTAGGACATATGCAATGAAGGTTTAAAGAGGAGCTTCACCCTCCATATGACAACAAAGGCACCTTAAGAAATGTTTACTGGCAATCTACAAATAGATACTTCTAGATCATTGCCGGCTTTTTATTCTTTGCATACCTCTTTCCAAAGAATAAAAACTGCATACCAGTTCAGAGATGAAACTTCCCCAGGAAGGGACTGGTGATGTAACCTTCTCAGGATGCATCTGCGAGGCCAGGGCTACATCACCAGTGCTTCACTCAAACAGGAAGTGGGAAAACAGTAATTGTAAGTCAAAATCATCTTACATTACCTAAAGAATGTAAAATCATCTTACATTACCTAAAGAATGTAAAATCATCTTACATTACCTAAAGAATGTAAAATTATCTTACATTACCTAAAGAATGTAAGATGATTTGATATAAGCATGCAGAGCTGCATGCTGGTGTGATTTTAGTAAAAGGGGGTAAAGGTCCACTTTAACGAACGGCCTCCATTGTGCATATACACTGAGTGGCCAGATTATTATGACCACCTGACGTTTGTAGGCACATTAGCTATAATTAACTATAATTTGGCGCTGAAGTTGCTAGAGGGCCAGACCATTATAAATAGGGAAGCGGGTTGTTTACCACGACAGTAGAAGTGATTTTTTTCTGAAGATATGGGTAAACAACGCGATTCAACAGCCTTTGAACGTGGGATGATTGTTGGCGCTCAAGCCATGGAGCGAGTATCAGTAAAACAGCAGAATTCGTTAAATGTTCAAGAGCAGCTGTTGTTAAAGTGTTTAAAGACTGGACTGTCAGCCGAAAGTCTGGGTCTGAACGTGCGAATTGTGGCCGTCAGCGACTAGCCAATGTTAGGGCAGAACGGAGAGTGGCAAGACTGGTACAAGACAACCGAAGTGCAACAGTGCAGTGTCAGATTCCTCGCATCACCTTTCAATATCTCGTGGAGTCACGAGGCGGCCCAACGAAGACATCTCGTGGAGTCACGAGGCGGCCCAACGAAGTACTGATCGGGTGGTCATAATAATCTGGCCACTCAGTGTATATACGTGTGTATATATACAGTGGTGCCTCGGTTCATGAACTTAATTCGTTCCGCGATTCTGGTCGCGAACCGAATCAAACTGTGATCAGACCGCAATCTTGACTACAGGAAGCCATGACCATGTGTCATAGCAGCGAAAATGGCTGCGGTTGTGTTAGTCACCCAAAGCGGAGTTTGTGAACGGAGGCAACATTTTGCCAAACTTCCTGTTCGCGAACAGAAGCGTTCGTAAACCGAGGTACGTGTGTGTGCGTATTCCTTGGCTTAGCATGTAATGAACTTTTTTTGTATTGATTTTAACATGCTGCAAATGAGACAGCTGTCACCAGGGGGTTATTCTCATGCTACTAGCCAATTAAACATTTGGTGTACGGTTTGGGCTTAAGGGCCTGTTCACACGACGTCCGTTTTCTGTGCTGACCTGATCCGTACGCTCCTGCACTAAAAATTCATTCTAATGTATCCCTATGTGTTTTATGGGCTACAGTTCTCGCGTGCGCAGTCCGTTCAGGTTACGACAGAAAAATTACTGCATGTCACATTTTGTACGGTCTGGAAACGCAAAACGCACTGCACTGCAGCTAAGATGCTGACAGCCCCACTCCAGCCAAAAAAAAAAAATGTTTTTTTTTTACTAGAATGCATCAAAAACGCGGCCAAACACATAGCACCGCGTCTGCAGATCCGCACCCGAAAATCATGTGAACAGGCCCTTAGTCTTTCCTGTCTTCGGAGCAGTTCACACTTCCCAGATAATGTAGGGCAGTCATGTTTTTCAGGTAGTTATCACCCCATAGAGCCAGAGAAAACGGAATTTATTAAACTTCAAAATTATGATCTTTGAGCATTTTTCATTAGAGGATGTTATCCAACTGTACAGATGTCACTGATGAAATGTCTTCTCAATGCTAAAAGACAAACCACGCTTTGAAAACTATGAAAACACTGTCTATATGATCTCTAAAGGCAACGTTACTTTATTCCAGATTATGAAAAACACTTTTGATAGCATGATGAAAGAGGAATCATCGTGCCAGGAGAAGGTGAATGAAATGCTTCCCAGCATCACACAGCTTAACAAAGAGACGGAGGATCAAAAGATCAAGTTGGAGCGAGTCAGGAAACAGGTTAATGTCTGCAGTTGTGCACTGGAAACATGTTTTATGCTTTGTACAAAGTAGATATGTTATGTCTTATAAGGAGCTTTATTGTTTCAAGTGATTTCTATGTTCACAAAAGCACAAAGCTGTGTTTCTTCACCTTCTATGTTCACAGCAGTGAGGCCATATGGGTTTTATACCTTCATCTTTCCAAGAAAAATGTATAAAATCACAGAGCAGCGGGATCAGTCCACAAAGTCATCAGTAGCTGTTATTGTAACATCTGATACCATGTCTATTTCTTAACACAAAGTAGATGATTAACTTGTTATGGTGGTTTTTTTCAGGCCAGTGAACCAACCAGTGTTTAGCTGCCCACGCGGGGCACAGTCTGATTGTACAATCTCTTTTCCATTTATCAGTAATGATGTAGTATAAGGGCCCACCAGACTGGATTAAACTGAATCCATTGTTTAGGTAGGCCTTTGTACTGGTTGAGATTGTACAATCAGATTGCAATAGGTGTGACCAGTTTAAAGAAGAGCTCCACCAAGCATAGCATTGTTTAAATGATCATTTGCTTATGTCATGCTTGGGCTTAGCCACAGTGAACTCAAATGGCTGACAGCCATCCAGAGTAGTAAACATGTATTTAATAGCAAGAGAGCGGAATCCCTTTAACGAATAGTGCTGTTTAGATAAATATATATTTCTGTCTTTTTAGATGAACATTTAAAAGAGATCAGCTTCGTGTAAAAACTAAGCTTGATGTACATATGTTAGGGGAGTGGGCAATTATATGGCAGATGAGGTTTAATGTCGATAAATGCAAAGTAATGCACTTTGGACATAAAAATAAACAAATAGGCTATACAATCATGGGTATGCCGCTAGGGAAGTCAGAAATAGAAAAAGATTTGGGGGTCATTGTAGACCACAAACTGAAAGGTAGCTTGCAGTGCCAAGCTGCGGTAAACAAAGCTAGCAGGGTCTTGTCGTGTATTAAGAAGGGGATGTATTGCAGGGACAAGTCTATAGTGGTGCCTCTATATAGATCGTTGGTTTGGCCACTTGCCGCTAGGGAAGTCAGAAATAGAAAAAGATTTGGGGGTCATTGTAGACCACAAACTGAAAGGTAGCTTGCAGTGCCAAGCTGCGGTAAACAAAGCTAGCAGGGTCTTGTCGTGTATTAAGAAGGGGATGTATTGCAGGGACAAGTCTATAGTGGTGCCTCTATATAGATCGTTGGTTTGGCCACTTCTGGAGTACGCGGTCCAGTTTTGGTCGCCGGTACTGAGAAGGGATGTCCTTGAACTGGAGAGAGTCCAGCGGTGGGCAACCAAACTAATTAGGGGAATGGAGGACCAGAGCTATGAGACAAGGCTTCTGACCTTAAACATGTTTACGCTGGAATTAAGGAGATTAAGGGGGGATATGATTTTCATGTACAAGATGTTCAATGGTGACAGCAACATTGGCAACAAACTGTTTGAGATTAACTCCATTACAAAGACTAGAGGCCACCACCTAAAGTTGGTGGAGAAAAAATTCCAGCACAAGGGGCGAAGGGGGTTCTTTACAGTAAGAGCGGTCAGGGTCTGGAACTCACTGCCATCGGCAATGATTTCAGCTAAGAGTGTAGATTTGTTCAAGAAACGTTTGGACAATTTCTTGAGGGACCGTAATATCCAGGGATACCAGTATCCCTAAGAATGAGATGATGCGTGGACCTATATG